GCGGGAGGGGGGTCGGGGTGAGGGTGGGTAAAAAAAAAGAAAATTGAAGTTGAAAAATGTTTTTTAAAAATAAGCTTTAAATTTATTTTTTCAACAAAAAAATTGTAATTTGAAGTTGGAGGAAAGTTTTGGAAAATGTTTTCCTTAAGTTTTGAAGGAAAGTCATTTTCCTTGAATTTGAGGAGAATGAGTTGATTTGGAAAACATTTTACCCAATCAAACATGAGAAAATTGGAAAACATTTTTCGGAAAACATTTTCCTTCATACCAAACACACCCTTAGGGTAAAATAGCCTCCAGAAAACTTTGACACGCCTTAAAGTTTGAAAAACATGAATTAAGCTTATCTTGTGGAGGTCCATAAAATTTCAGTGTCTACAATATAATTTATATATATAATAAAGGAGAAACATAGACAAAGTGATGTGACACATCTTTATGGTCTCTATTCATATTTATTTATTAGTATATTTTTTACATGTCTCTCTTCCTTTTACTATATAATAATAACATAATAATATACTTTAAAATATTTTATTTTATATGTACAAAAATTAGCCCACGTAGCAGTAATAATTGGCGCCAAGTAAGCTGGATAATCAATGCATATTGAATTTCTATGTTTTTTTCATCTATATAGTAAGACTTGAATGATTTGGTTACGTATTAAAAATATCAATTACTTTTGTATTTACCTTTTGCATTAAATTTTAGGAGCAATGATCTTTCAATAACTTATTTGCATTATTGCATATATAAGCTTTCTATTCCTTTTCATCAGCAGTGCATGATATGCTGATACAAGAAAAAAGAAAGAAAATCATATTTGTATAGATAGTTCTTTTATTTTTGGGTGAGGGAGAATGCTTTTGTGATGATACGGAGAATTTGATTGATATTTATTTGTTATTCTTTTCTTCTGACATGTGAATAATGATTTTACATGTATAGATAAACATATAGTAATTGAAAATTTATATATAGATGACTTCTTTATGATAAGGACTTTTGAGTTTTGTGTATTTTTCATTTATTTCTTTTTCTTGCCCCTTATTTCTGAACTATTAAATATCTTCATTCATTTGTATACATGATTTTACATTTTGTGTTAATGTTTCATACAAAGAGACTGAAAAAGTTATAGACAAATTTGAATATGTACTGAGCAATAAAATATATGATCTATCCAATTTAACTCTAATGGTGCATTATAAGAAAATTCTCCAGCGTGAGATCAAATGCGTGTTTCAGTGTTTAGCCTTTTACTTTGTATGATAATAATATCTTGTCATGAGATTCACGTGTTAGTGGATATTTTGTTTGGTTAAACTTAGTGGTATATGCTCTCTCTTTCCTGCAAATTCCGTTGGGAAAGGCAAGCACAAACAAATGTACACGACAGGGCAATAGCGGAAGAAAACCCAAGTCAAAACTTTCTCTTCTATTTGAACCAAGAGAAGACAACATAATGCAAGAACAAAACTGTTTGGGGCAGCAAACAAATCAACCAAGCAAGCAAAACAAATCAATACACGAGACACCAAGTTTAACGTGGAAAATCTCTTCGGTGTGAAGAGTAAAAACCACAAGGCCAGAGCACCACTAAAAAAGAACAAGAGTTACAAAAGTGTTCTCCAAAATAGTCAGCAATAAAGTGTCAAACAATGAGCAACACAACTACAAGATAGCACCAAAAAACTAGAGAAATAAAAGAAGCAAAATCATCAAATGCATCTACTGTTCACGAGCTAAAATTCGGAGCTACAGTACTCCAAATCACCCTCTCTTAGATTTCTATCAAAGATTAAGTTAAAAGAAACAAGCTGTCCAAAAATTAGCTCAATCAAATAAGAAACGAAACGGGAATCGCGATTTGAAATTGGTTGATAGTGCTTGTGCGAAAATCTACACTCTGTCACTTTTCTCTCTATATGGCTGCTGATCTAACTCTTGTGATACTTCAAATTAAGACCTAAAATAAAGTCTTATATATACACCATAATATTGGGTTTATGGGCAAAGTGGGCTAGTCCAAATTGGGCTTAAATTTATCCACAAAGGAAAGGAAGGAGGCCCAAAACCTTGGACTTCTATTTATCCACATAGGAAGGGAAAAAGACCCAAAACCCAACAATTCTCACCCTACCGACTATGTGGAGGAGACCGCCATCCCGACGATCATGCAACATTCTTCAAACTTCCCTCTTGGCAAAGATCTAGTCATCATTTTTGAACCATTATCATTAGTATAGATTTTTTCAAGTTCAAGCAACGTAGAATCCACCACATCTCAAATCCAATGATACCTCACATCAATGTGTTTAGACCGACCATGAAATGTAGAATTCTTGCCAAGATGAATAGCACTTTGACTATCACAATAAAGCACATACCTCTCTTGAGCACAACCTAGTTCCCCCAAAAATCTCTTCATCCAGATCAACTCTTTGCAAGCTTCAACAGCAGCAATAAGCTTAGCTTCCGTAATAGATAAAACAACACATTTTTGCAACCTAGATTGCCAAGACAC